GATAATTTTGTAATTTTGTTAAAGTTAAAGGTTAAAATGGGTATAAGAAAGGAATGAGAAGGGTGAAATTGGAAAAAATTGAAAGAAGATTGCATGAGAAATTGAACCGATGGTTTTTCTGGTTCTATCGGTTTTATCGGTTTTATCAGTTTTTACCGATTTTGACTAATTTTGACCTCAAATGGTTTTCTTATATGAACCGAACCGTTTTTATGACCGATACCGGTCCGACCAGTTCAACCGACCGGTCCGATCCGGTTTTAAAAACCTTGAGTTTAAGCACAGATTCAACTATTTCAAATTTGATAACTACTCGAACTCGACTCGAGTTTGAATATTTAAAGCAAGCTTCAGTACAAGTACTTAAGTACCCAACTCATTAATCACTCTAATTAAAACTATTCGTAAAATTGTTTAAAAATTATTAATTAATCTTTTTATTTGTTAATTTATTCAAAATATTTTAATTTTTTTATTATTATATATAACATTTTAAATATCAACTCACCTTAACTTTTACTTTTCTATGCTTCCTATCAACCTTTATTTTATCTTTTTGTTAATTAAGCACCGTACCTATACCTAACTTCCAATAACATTAATTACTAAACAAGTGCACTTTTCTTTTTTCTGGGCGGGTTTTAAACCCGTCCATATCAAAATGTTTCAAAAAAATAATAATAAGTACCGTACCTGTGCTGGATAATTTTCAGTGTTATTACGAATAAATAAATGTATTGTTTGCTTCTTATGATTTAAAGAAAAGTAAAAAATTAGCATTTGAAGTGATATTTAAGTAAATTTTAAGAGTTATATACATCTAAATTTTTTTTACACTTACTTAAAAGCATCTTTAAAAGTTAATTTTTGATATTTTATTCAATAAAATTTCAAATTTTAAAAGAAAAAACTTGTTTTTTTAAAGTTTTGTCAGATACCCTCAATGATATAATTTCCTTTCTTATTATGAATACATAAATGCATTGTTTGCTTCTTATTATCATAGCCCTTCATGTATTGATGGTAATTTCCTTAGTTCATTAATGATACTGTGTAATTTAATTCATTGTTATAATTTTTTTTTTTTTTTTTTGCCAATTTGACAATTTTTCATGTAGGAGAAGAGCAAAATCATATGTAGTTGATGTAAACCTGGAATATCAGTGAAAGAGCCTTCTCTTATTTGACATATTTCATCCTCAAATTGTCAATTTCTTAAAAACAAAATTGTAAACTGAAATCTGCCAGTATTCTGTTTGTGGTGTGAGTGAATCCTCACAACTTCAAGTAACTGTAAAACAGAGGAAATTATATATTCACACACAAAGGGAGGGTTGTGAAGATTATATTAAACCTTCATTTAAACGGTTTCCTTTACTAAGAACAGAGTGGGTTAGAAAGCAAAAGCTTGGAACTGCTGCGGGAGTCTGTTGATCTTCACAGCCCTGAACCTGCCAGTTTTAGGATCATAAGAAATCAAGGCTCTCTTGTTACATTCCAGAACAATCTCCCCATTCTTCAGGACACACAAAACCCTTACGAATCTTCCCATCCAGTTCGAAGCAAAATCTTCATTCACCATTCCACTCTGCCCATCAAAGAAGAACAGAGGAACATAGTGGTTGATACAGTATTCTATGAAAATTAATCTTTATGTAACAACAAACATACAATTAACCATTCTTCTAAAAAAATTTGCTACTGCAATTGCAATTGTATGTAATTGATACCAACAAAATTAAACTTGGTTAAACGAGGTACCTGTTTTTTGAGAGTTTTGGAGGAATGCAAATTAACAATACATTATGTAAAAAAATCAGGTGGATACCAATAAGAGTTTAGTCGAATTCCAAGATGCGATTTTTTTATTGCCTACACTTGAACCTAGGACTTGGAAGATTAAGAACAAGATACAGTGTATGCAAACAGAAAGCGAAAGTGGTACAGAAGATCTAGATATACATTTTTGCATTGATGAGTCTGCGCTAACATTAACATATTTACAAAGTAGGGATGGATAAGAGATTTGGGATGATATGCGCCCCCAAAACAAAGCATGTAACTCATGAGTTTGTAAATTCATTAATGGATTTTATTTGATTTAGATCTCTTTCATTCATGATGACATATCTTGCCTTTGTTATTTACGTATTTATTTTGTTACAAAAATAATATAATTAAAATACCACATAGTATTATAAGTTTTATAATCTTATCCTCAATCTTCTCATCTTTACTTTTTCTTTTCCTTTCTGTTTTCTACCTTTTCTCTCTTTATCCACCTTTCTCTTCTCTTTTCCTCTCCCTTTTGCTTGCATAGATCTTGCAAATTAGGCCATGGGGATAAAAGAAAAAGAAGAAAAAGGTCCATTTTGGTAAATGAGTTTAAATTACTTGCCAATTTGACAATTTCTTCATGCAACAGAGAAAACATAATCATACATGGTTGATGGAAACCTGAAATATCAGTGCAATAGCCTTCCCTTATTTGACAAATCAGATCATCAAATCGTCAACTTCTTAAGAACAAAATTATAGAGTGAAACCTGTCAGTATTCAGTTAGGTGTGAGTGAGTCACAACTTCAAGCAACTAAAAACATGCTTAATTAATCAATATATAAACAATGGAAGCCTGACTAAAGCTGAGGAAATTATATATCCGTATACTAAAGAAGACTTGTGAAGATTATTTCAAAGGTACCCTTTACTGAGAACAGAGTATGCTGGAAAGCAAAAGCTTGGAAGTGCTAAGGGAACCTATTGATCTTCAGAGCCTTCAACCCGTTAGTTTTAGGAACATAAGAAACTAGAGCTTTCTCGTTACACTCCAACACAATCTTCCCGTTCTTCAGGACACATAAAACTCTTCAGAATCTTCCCACCCAGCTCAAAGCAAAATCTTCAATCACCATTCCAAGGGGAGCATTATAACGCTTGTTACACTCCAACACAATCTCCCCGTTCTCCAGAACTGCCTTCCGAGAAAAAGGCAGATAATAGTCAGGTGGGTCTCATTGCCATACAACAGAGGTCATCCAGGATGATGTAAAATAACACAACTGTTAACTGACGCATTGATGATCAAAGATTCAACACAAACTAAAACAACTAGTGGTAGAGTCTTAAAGAAAGAGAAGTTAAAATTGCAAATTCATGGTTGCTTTTGCTGAGAAAAGAGAAGGTAGAAAAGGAACTGCCTCGAACCAATTGGGTAACCCACTCATTTGAAGAGTCTTGAATCTGTTTTCTACAGGATCATAAGAAACCAGAGAAGCGAAAGGACTGTTATTATACCACAACAGAATCTCCCCATTCTTCAGTGCACATATAACTCTGGGATATCTTCTTAAGAAGCTTGGCCATTTACTAGGAAAAGAGGGATCAAAGGAGAGTTGTTTTACCCAAGATTCCTTAACACGGTATTGCTTCATCACCCAGATATCAAAATGCAAAGTATCAACTAGCCCAGCTGCCGATAGACACCCATTGAGCACGGAAAGACGGTAGCCACGTGACACAAATCGTTGACAAGGTGGGTGCGGAATTTCTTCGAACACCTCATCTGCAAGCTCGAAGGAGATAATACCAAAGATAGGATCGTCTCCTCCCATCCGAACAAAAGTCACCCAATGGAGAGTTCCTTCAACTAGAACCTCAGGTGGTCCGGTTAACCGTCGAGGCGTAGCTCCTTTCGTTCTCCACTCTGTTGTTCCTACAGTAAACACCTGAACCGTTAATTCTTCCCCTTCTTCCACATCGAAACACACAATCCTGACCACTTTGAATTCTCCTGTCCTCGGATGAAACCCAAATCCAAAAACTTCACTTTGATTCAGAAATTGGTTCGCTGGTGGGACTCTTACAGCGTCTCCAACAGAAGGATTGTAAATTAGCAGACTGTGAGACCTCCATGAACTACCGATTAAGGATAAGCATAATAGCCCATTACAAGAACCCACCAGATTATTAACTTTTGAATGCTGTGGTGGGTCGATTTTCCTACCCCTTCGACTACAATCCTCAATATCCACAAAATAGAGTTGCAGGGACCGGGAGACAGGGTAATCGTAGTTGAACAGAATCAGACATGGGTCAGAGTCGCTTACCCGATTACGGAACATCGGAGGGAGTCTGGAATCGGCGATTAAATCATAGCCGGCATGGGAAGTGGTCTTGAAGTGGATCAGAGAGGTGATCGGGAGTCTTGATAGGATTTCGAGCAGAATCTCCGGTGGGAGAAGATGAAGATCCATCTGGACAGTCGCTCTGTTGGAAGGATCATCTGCAAGGTTGACTCTTTTCTTCTCTCTTTCCTCTTCGGTATCCATGCGGTTTTTCGTAGCCATTGAGGTTGGAACTTGGAAGGAGAGGAAGAAGAAGATGGGTTGAGGTTAAAATCAATGGTTCCAGCAAATTGTTACCTGCATGTCGTGTCAGGCGAAACCAGAGACGCGAGAGAAAACCACAAAGGAGAAAAGAAAGAGTAAAAAATACTTCAAAAACTTAATCTAATTGCCATGCCAGTAGCATGGGCTTGGTTTGATACTACAACTTTGATGCACTTGCAATGGAACTGATGATGCAGCAGATTTATTAAATTTTGATTGCAATTCAGATAAATTAAGGAAGATGTCCGTTCCAACAGAAGTCTTGTACTTAATTTAAAATTAATTAAAAATAATTTATAAATTTTTTTATTATTTATTTGATGTGAAATTTTTTTACTTTTAACATTTAAAATTCTTTTCAAATTTACACTTAACTGCTATTTGAATTTCTATTAAAGTTAATCTTTATTTAATAACAAACTTGCCATGAACCATTCTTCTAAAAAAATTGCAATTGTATGTAATTGATACCAGCAATATTAAACTTGGTTAAACAAGGTACTTGTTTTTGGAGAGTTTTGGAGGAATGCAAACTTATAGTGCAATACAATTCTCCTAAAAAATTAGGTGCATACCAATAAGAGTTTAGTTGAATTCTATGATGATGTGATTTTATTATTGCCGGCAATTGAACCTAGGACTTGGAAGATAAAGAACGAGATACAATGTATTCAGATAGAAAACAAAAGTGGAGAAGAAGATATGGATATACATATTTGAACTGATGAATTTGTATTAACATTAACATACTTACGAAGTAAGGGTGGAGAAGAGATTGGGGATGATATGCACCACCAAGACAAAATGTAGAACTCATGAGTTTGTCCTATCATTAATGAGGTTTATTTGATCTAGATCTCTTTCATTCAGAATGACATCCTGCCTCTGTTATTTATGTATTTATTTTACTATAAAAATGATACAATTATAATACTGCATAGTATTGTAAGTTTTATAATTTGATCCTCAATCTTCTCATCTTTCCTTTCTCTTTTCCTTTCTTTTTTCTACCTTTTCTCGATTCTCTTTCCCTCTCTTCTATGCTTGCATAGATCTTGTAAATCAGGCCATGGGGAAGATGGAAAAAGCAGAAAAGGGTCCATTTTGGTAAATGAGTTCAAATTACACGGTTGATGGAAACCTGAAATATCAGTGTAATATAGCCTTCCCTTATTTGACAAATCACATCATCAAATCATCAATTTCTTAAGAATAAAATTATAGAGTGAAACCTGTTAATATTCAGTTAGGTGTGAGTGAGTCACAACTTCCAGTAACTACAAAATATGATTAATTAATCAATATATAAACAATGGAAGCTTGACTAAAGAAGAGGAAATTAAATATCCGTATACTAAAGAAGAGTTGTGATTCTTGTGAAGATTATTTCAAAGGTTTCCTTTACTGAGAACAGAGCATGCTGGAAAGCAAAAGCTATGAACTGCTACGGGAGCCGGTTGATCTTTGGGGTTCATAGGATCATAAGAAACCAGAGCTTTCTTGTTACACTCCAACACAATCTTCCCGTTCTTCGGAACATAAAACTCTTATGAATCTTCCCACCCAGCTGAAAGCAAAATCTTCAATCACCATTCCAAGAGAAGCATTAGAACACTTGTTATACTCTTACACAATCTCTCCGTTCTTCAGATCTGCTTTTCGAGAAAAAGGCAGATAA